ATCTGCTTGATTGCACTGAGGACGGGAGGCAGCCCAGCTGGGCTGCTTCCCAGCCCAGTGCAATCAAGCACAGGGCCCCAGGAAGCAGCCTACCTGGGCTGCCTCCCACCCCGGTGCGATGTAGTGCTGGGGATGCCAAGCTGGTCTGACTCCCCATCCCCAGTGAAACTCGAAACAGTGTCAAAACAGCCTTTCTGTTTCGATGGAACAGAACGGAAGAGCTGTTTTGACTTGAAATGAAATTCGAGACAAAACATTGTTCTCTCGAACCATCGAAACTCAAGGCAAAACGGAACGGTGCCATTTCACACAGCCCTACTAGTTAGTGGCCACAGGCAGCACTTTGCTGACCACACACTCAAAGTAGGAACAATAATAACTGATGATAATTTCTGTTCATTTCCTTTTCAAAAGAATTAGGAACCTTCAATGCTTGTGCTTGTTACTGGCCACCATCTACTTCTCTCCTGTACCAGCTATTGTGCTACAGAAGTGATACAATTTAGCAAAAAGACAACTAAATAAAGTTTAGCTATATATAACCAGTGCAAGAATGGCATAAGGTAGGGTAGGGCAGCATATAAACTAACTGGTTCAAAGAGGCATGAGCTTTCATACATGACAGCCTATCTGATTAGATGATATGGAAACAGGAATGGAAGAGTGGCAGCATTTGTGGTGAGGGGGAGAGAGGGTTTACAAACTATCAAATAATAGCACTTATGTTTTCCCTTCCACTGGAATAAGATTATGTAAATATTTAGCTCTGAAAAATAAACCACTGTAAGGTTAACAAAGTGTTGTGCTAGAGGACTGCTGAAAGGAGTCCAAATTCAATCACTCGAACTTCAGATTCAGCCCCAAGGAAACAGGTTTCAGGGCCATGTTTGGGGAGAGATGGACAAGGAATCAACCGTTTGAAATACATAAAAAAGTTGAACCTCTCAGCCTAACAGTAAGATGCCAAATCTGGGTTCCCAAAAGCAAACTGTTGCTCTACTCTCCTTTTTAGTACCTGGGGACTGTGAGTTGCATTGATTAAGGCTCAGGCTTTCTTTATAAGAGATGGGAAAGCAGAAACACATCACTCATCCCTGAATGGTGTAGTTTTATCTTTCCCCTGTCAAGCAGCAATTAGATTACTTCACAAGAATATTAAGGGCACATATCTTCACTCCTAGGATGTTGAAAACAGGGAACAACTTCTAATGTATGGCATGCACTGAAGAGTCCTCCATTACCTATTTCCTGTTTATCTTTCACTTGAAAAAATGCATCCCAGAAACACAGTGCAATTAGAAAAAAAATCATTTAATTTATGAGAACTCTATTTAGAAATGTTTTGTTGGAAAAAAATGAATGGAATGCTGTAAACAGAGTAACTTTGGACAACAAAGAAAATATTTTGACAGATGCTAACATATGTGAACATGGATCTTCGATGAGTGTCTCTTCCATCTCAGCCCAGTTTCAAATAATAAACCATGCACTAATTTGTAAAAGGAGTCTTGCATAATTTAAGATGAGATTCTCCATAAGGTAAATACCATGAGTTACCTAAACATCAATTTACCTGCTTGTAATGTTCGTTATTGCATTTGACCCTTAGATTTTATTTATGGGTACTGCTAGACAAGTTAACCTATCAACTATTCTTGCATTAAGACAGGCAGGAAGATTCTTAAGTGTGGAAAGGGAAGAAGGGAAAGATAAAAGACAATTCTGATATGAATCAGTTTCAGAGGATTTGTATTTGTCACTGTATCCTCTGTACCTGGCATGACAACATTATGCTCCATACAGAAACTTAAAACAACATGCAAACTCATAATCGATCCCAGCTGCAATGATTGTAAGGTTTTGTGCACCCTGTTCAAAATGCAAAATCCCTCCCACCTCCATTTTTTCTAGTCACACATTCACCTTTGGCTGGCCTAGATATTTTCCTCACATGATCTTCTGTTTACATGACAGAACCACCAATATTGCTTCTCAAGGCCCTGACAAGTAACTCTAAAACTGGAGACAAAGAACAAACAAAAGGACTACTCATAACCAGGGAAAATAATCTGGTTACATACCAATATTTTTTAGGTGCAATGTATTTTCTTTTGTACCTACTGAGAATAGAATGCTCTTATAGGCTAGAATTTTAACATTCAGGTGGGAAGTAGGTCAGAACATTTGCCAAGAGAAGCGAATGGAAATTTTCTTTACTCACCCACAAAGATTTTAAAGTGTGGATTAAAAGCCAGCACTTATTTCTTTTTAAAGTTGCTAAGTTTTTCTTTTTTAATAGGTACCAGCCTCTTCTGCCCAGCTTTCCATCTCCAAATCTTCTGAACCCTTGGATTTGTTTAATTGTTCAGTAGCCCTTCAATTTTTTTAATTTTTAGCTTCTCTAAATACTGCATAATGCTCTCTGTCCTCTAAAGACTAAACCTGACCAACTAAACTTTTAGCAAACTCAAACATCCCACTCAAAACAAGCAGATAATAACAAGAAAAAACCCAAATTATACACTTCTTGATACCAGAAACACAAAATACAAGTTGACATGATGAGTCAGGTACCTCATGAGTTGAAAACTCGTGATAATTTTTTTTTCTTTTTTTAAATCAGACAGCCTCAAAGACAGCCAAACAAGACAGTCAAAGCCTCAAAGACAGCCTCAAAGACAGTCAAACCAATTAGGGTGAAATAAGAAGGGTTATACTATTTGTATCAGCTCCTCTCTTCCTAGCAGGGGAAAACAGAAGAAATCTGCATGCCAGGAAATGTTGGGAAGAAACAATAGTCATGGCAAGTTATATTTTCACTTCCTCTCCCCACATTCTTTGAGCACAGAAAGTACAAGAACAGTTAGTTACTGGAGGGAACGGTAAATGATTTCAGAATAACAAGAGGAACATGAGACTAATTTATGAGTGACAAATGCTAGAAAACTTATTGGACTCTATAAAGTATTTTTTGTGTGTATGTGTCCTGCAAAATACCAAGAACCTCACATTTGATTCATAGCAGTTAGAGAGCTACAAAAATGTTCATCTAATCCTTTTGCTTACCAGTAAAGAATCATAGTCTTTCGCAGTTATCCTCTTTATACATGTAGAAAATAGTTATACAAGTAGGAATAGGGAAGATACGCTGAGTTTAAAATTACCATTATTTTTCTACTGCTTTAACAGTTTTTGTTTTACATTATGTAAGCAATAGGTTTTTAAAATGTTTCTCAAAAAATATATATCCAAAATACCCCCATGATATCACATTTCTAGAACAGGGATCTGGCACCTACAGCATACATGACAAGTGGCACGGGCAGCCTCTATGCATGGGTGGCACATGGCAGACTAGGAATATATGACTAATATGACTGACCACCTCTTTGCTTGTATGTCTGTAGGGTGACTGACAATTCAGTTTTAGTTCTTTAGCAATTAGTAAGCCTCTTAATATTTGAGAGGAAGACTAGAAATACTATAAAATCTTTGTAAACTGTCCTATGGCTCAGAGCAATGACAAGTGGGAAGACTTTATTATGCTTGAAATCACAAAGGGGTGCACAAGTTTCTTAAGCTCCAATGGAAAGCGTGTCTGAATGGATCTCCAGGCTTGTAGCAGATGAGGTTTGGAGAACTACCAATGACCCTACAAAGGCTTCAGAAGGGAATTAATGCACTTAACCGTACAGGGCCTAACTTCCATTAGCTTCTATACCTCACATGGACTCAAAAAGTAACAAACACTCAAAACCCTCACATGTGCAGAAAACCTGACTTCACCCAAAAAAAGCACTTTGAGTGAACACAAAACTGACTGAACTTGCTGTACAAAGTTTCAACCCAACACGCTATGTGTTAGTACGTTAAACCCCCCAAAATGCTATTTAAATAAAATCATGGAAATGTTAAACATGAAGATGCTAAGCGACACTCAGTTCATTCTTTTTCATCCCCAACACACAAGAAGAAAAGGATTACAATAGCCACAGAAGGAAGCTGTATTTGTTATCGCTTTTGTGCAGAAACAGTGAGATCACACTGCGACTCCTCTATACTGCAGACCAGAAATTCTCAATCAGGGTCCGGGAGCACCCTAAGCACAGAGTCAGACTTGTCCCTGACTGGACAATCCCCTACCCCACTCCCTGGCTTCTCTGTAAAAAGGTAAGCACTAATATATACATTTGTTTTTGAAACTGGGTGCCAATTCAATTCACAAAAATTATAAATGGGTGCCTTGAACCCAAAAAGCTTGAGAATCACTGCTCTGGATGCTGAAAATATTCAATTTGCAGGAAGCAAAAGGTTAAACAGAAGACTTTGAAAATGTTGCTATAAACCACTAATTGTTGCCAGTCTTGCATATGTAGAAGACTTCTTCTGCACCAAGGCAGCAATCCAGAAGGAACTAACTTGGCAGAAGTCACTTAATTCTACTACACTGCATCCATAGTAGGGAGTTTTGACATTTACTCCAAAGGGGCCAGAAATTTACGCTACAAGTTGGTATAAGTAGAGCTGTATTGCTATAACTACATCAGTGTAAAATCCCTCTTTAAGACAAGTCTTCATCTTCTCATCTCTAGAGACAATTTTCTTTTATTCCAAAAGAATGCTGTGAGAGAAATAGTTAGTTACTAGTCATGTGCTTTGAAAACTGAAATAGTTAATGACAGGTAGCTGAGGCAGTAGTTCTTCAGTGAAACTCAAATATTAACGGCAGAAGTACAAAATCATCACCTGGTTTAAATTATCTTCCAATCACTTATTTTTCAACCTTCTACCAGCAGTTTATGGTGCAGCATAAGTCATTCCTTTAGCTAGCACCAAATCCACACTATACTGGGTCTATTAAAAGTATATCCTTCTTCTTTTTCTAGTTAGATTATGCTACTTAGCTGAATATGCTTAGCTGGTACGGACTGAGGCCAGTCCCTAATTTCCTCCCTGATGCTAAAACCTCACCAGGTTAATATGCACGTTTTATTACTCACCTAACATTTGGCCCATCTGAACTTAAAAAGGGTGCTGGAAGAACAGAATTGTTCCCTGGAGGTTGACATCTGAAACCTTCTCTTGCAGGCAGATAATACACCCTTTGGATGACCACTCGTACTTGCACTCCCTTCCAGCCAGCTGCTCCCTGGTTTTCCACCACTTCAAGCAGAGAGTCATGTAGGACACTGAATGCTAACGGCTGTAGTCTGGATTCAGGTTTGTTATGAGTCTGCATAGCTGGAGTAGTCATGTTGGTACAAGCAATCTGGTAAATACAAAGCCACAGAATAAAATTATTGTATAGAGTATTAAACCACATAGCAACGCAACATGAACTTCAACTAAAATTAATTATAAAAGAGCCTGGATTATTTTCAAAACATTTACTATAAATACTGGTTAGAAGTATCTAAATTTTCTTGGATTTTTAATTAATGTACTAGGGATCCTATAATTCGGCACATAGTATTCTCTTCTATGTAATTACTGCCCTGGATTAAATTAGCTCAATCCATATGAGGCCAGTAATGTTAAAAGGAAGAAAGAACTGGCATCAGTATTTATCACCCTGCTTCATGAAGGATTTTTACATAATTCTTGGTAGTTCTGTTTATTCCCCCATAAAGAGTAGTATAAACCTTCAAAATAAAATAGACTCAACAACTTCTAAATTCATGGCAGATAAAAGGGTGGGCAGTTTTACAAGGTAATAATTCAGGTCTCAAATTTATAAGCCACAGTGTAAAAGGTATTGGATTATTAAAAAAGAAGGAGGAAACTCTAACCTACTTCTGTTCTTTCACTACAACTGAAAGAAACTAAGCTTTTTTTTCATTAAAGCCACACTGTTTGCTGCCTCAGACCTGACCTCATTCATCCCCATTTAAAAACTTTTATCAAAAGTATAGTGTCCGTCAATCTTTTCTCATTCCTTTGCAACCCCTGTTTTAAATACCATCTGTGTGTCTAATTAAAAAAAATAATACACAAAAATTAGTCTTTCTGCTTTTTAGTTCTTCTAGCTCTTTGCAAGCCTGAACGCATTTGCCTTGGTAGGAACTGATGTTCAGAGAGAGCTCCCTTTCATTTTGGTAGGACCAGATCTGTCCCTGAAAAGACAGTGCAGTTCAAAGAGTACTTATATACTCAAGCAGCAACAGAATCCTTGGTCAAACTGAAATCTTTTACACTAGCGTAGCGATAACAGTTTTTGCAATCAGTACAAAAGAACGCTATTCAGCAGACCCGGGAGGGGACAGACAAAATGGAGACAGGACCCTCAGGGCAGAAAGGAGAAAACAGAGCAGCAGATTAAGGAGGGGAAGGGGTTCGGAGTGGCACTTGGTGGGTGTGAAGGGCTAATTTGTGGCAGGCCTGCCAAAAAGGTTGGCCCTCACTGAGCTAGGGTGTGCATTTGGAATGCATCAGCTATTTGGTACTAACTGCCTGAGCGCACAGTCTTACCACAAACTAGTCGCAAAGGAGCTGGCACAGTTGCCACAAAGTAGCTGGCATGCTATAAAGTCACACCCTGGCTTATGTTATGATAATTTATTTGTGTACCAACAACGCCACACTTTAGTCAGAATTTTCAAACATGACTAGTGATTTCAGGAGTTCAAGTCCTTAAAACAGTGCTGGGCATTCACCATCTGAAAACCTGATTCCTTTAAAATGTATCGCTTAAATTGAAAACTTGAATTTGAGACACCCTTCTCAATCATCTCTGTATATAGGTTTTAAAATCATGACTATTTCCATAAAGCCAATAACTGGTATTTTAAAGAAAGGACTCAATAAGAAGGGAAAACACTCAAATATGGAAGCATAGAAATACAATGTTTACGTATAGTTTTAAAAAGGTTACTGGGGTACTGAGATTCACAGAGTAAGGGAATCATTGAAAAACAAAGCTGTGATATCAGCACTGTTATTCTGCATGGTAGTAAAACTATAGCAAAACAATCTCACAGCAGTTCAGGACTTGGACTGACCAAAAGCCTCCACATATAAAATATTATTAAAACAAATAGCACATATTATTCAGCTTTGGCTAAATAAAAAGGGAAGAGAGTATCAGTATTTCAGGATTTCTGTTTTTGTTATGATTTCCAAACATCTGTTCAACTGATTTGTTACAAAGTGATAAACTACAAACAAGATGAACCTTACCTGATTAACTGCAGATTGCTGGGGTGCACTGTCTCTGGGATCATTTAGGATGAATATTTGTGCCAAAGATACAATATTTCTTCTAATAAGCAACTGCTCTGGACAATGCATCTTATTCTTTATTTCTGTGTGTTCTCTGAAGAACACTTTCTGACTAAAATATGTATTCATGATAACTGGGACATTTTCATTATGGAGAATTAGTTTCTGCCTAAAAGAAAAAAACAAAAAAGCATTTTGAATTCACTGCTATTCAGAACCATATCACAATTTATCCTATTTTAACAACTTTTTATGTCGTACTGTGTTTTTCTTTTGTGATGTATGTCTCTTCCTTGTGCCTTTAAACCACATCTATGGCTCAGACTTACTATGCCTGGCAGAGGCCCCCTAAAATGTGCTGTGTGGCTCAGTATGTGTCACCACTGCAAGCAGTGATGCCAAGTCTGTGTAAGAGCTGTAGACAACCTAACCAGCATAGGCTACACGTAACCTTATTATGATTATATTGCGTATCACCTTGTCTCAAGTTAATTTTTACTTTTTTTTGTTCTAGTAAACTATCCCCCCACTCCCCAACCTTGATTACTAATATTTTACCTTCTCTTGCTAAAAAATGTTTCCAAACAGTTTCACACGCAGCAATTTTTTGGCTATTTGATTAAGGTAACTGTTGGATAATCTCTCCTCTACAGTAATTTTATAACAAAACATTTTCTGATGTGAATATTTGTTTTAGCATGTAAATATTATCATATATTTTGATACTCCTAGAATAAAAATCTATTGAAGCCAGTTAAACAAAAGCAAAGCAGTAATCAAATTTTCAGTGCTCATCACACAAGAATCAAAAGTCAGTCAGTGAAATGTATTGCACGCTATGTTTTTCTGCAATTCGATTTGTATCCTTTGGGACTGTAACATTCTTTGCTGGCAGCAAAGCTAGAGATGACCTGGGTTCAGAAGTTACCTCAGGCCTCTAGTTCCCCAGCACGCTAGAGACTGTGGAAATGAAGCAACCACATCTTTATATCTGTGACTAAGTACTGGAGTAAAATAAACCAGGGTGAAAAAAATCCACAAAAATATGTCTGCTGAGTTTTTTCTAAGCTACATCTCAACCACATAACTGTAGTAGTACTACTTGTAAATAAAAGTAGTACCGAGTAATTTATAAACAAAATGGAAAATGTACCAAGTAAAAACTATGAAAATCATGTACTCATGCTTGGCAAAAAACACAACACACTCTGAAAAGTAGGGGTGCACCAATAACTATATTTTTGGCCGATACCAATAGCTGACTGCTAACCAGCCATATTGGCCAATACTGATCCGATAACTGATTTACAGGAATGCAGCCAGGTAGCATGGAGAGCAGCACCCTGCAGGTAAGTCTGTAGAGAAGATGGGGTGTGCAGGGGGGCAGATTAAGGCCCCCACAGTAAGGGAGGGAGTGGGGCAGGGGCTGGGGGTGCTGCCCAGTCAGGGCGGTGAATGGGAGCTGGGGCAGGGTGTGGGATGCAGCCATGGGCAGCTCTTCCAGGGGATCAGCAGCCCAGAGCTTAAAAATAGCGGCGGGGGTGCTTGAACTAAAGCTTGTCGAATGTTCAAGTGCTGCCACCACCATTTTTAAGCGCAGGGATGCTTTTAATCAGAGTGGAGCTGAGCAGAGCGAGGGCAGATGCAGGCTGCTTGCTGTGGGCTTGAGGCTCTCTGCCCTGCTGCCTTTGCCCCATGGGCTCTGCATCAGCCATGAGTCACCTGCTCAGCTGGCAGCAGGAGGCACAACTCACCACTACCTCTAGGTGCGCAGGGGTGTGTGGCCGACCCAGAACCCCCAGGACAAAGGCAGCAGAGTGGAAAGCCCCGAGCCCACAGCAGGCAGCTAGCATGCACCCTGCACAGAAATCTGGGAGGGGCACATGCCCCCCCATGCCTTCCCAGGGGGTGCGTGCAGTGGCAGGGATCCAGCCCCACCCCACCCCATACCCCTAAACAAGGAGCCCGCAACTCTGTCCTACACCCTGCCCCAACCCCAGGTCCCATTCACCACCCTGGCTGGGTAGCACCCCCAGCCTAGCTCCTGCCCCAATGAAAATATATATATTTTAAAATAATCCTAAATCTTAAATTTAAGCAGCACATTAAAAAACTTTTAAATGAGTTATTATTACTATTTTTACACTACATATGAGTACTTATTATAAAGTATCAACTTGACTTTTTCTACTTGTGGGAAGCTGTATATGGATAGCTACTGACTGTGAGAAACAGTTTAAGTTAAATGAGGTCCCAGATGAGTGGAAAAATGCAAATATAGTGCCCATCTTTAAGAAAAAGGAGGGGGATCTAGGGAATTACAAACCAGTAAGTATCATGGAGCAGGTCCTCAAGGAATACTGAAGCATCTAGAGGAGAACAAGTGATCAGGAACATCCATTATGGATTCACCAAAGTCAGTCATCCCTGACCTGGGGGAAGGTAAAAAGTGCAGTTCCCCAGTGGTTTGATCTGGGTCAGATATCATTTAACATGTTCATTAATGATTTGGACAGTGGGATTGAGTGCATGCCTACTTAGCAAATTTACAGGTGACACTGTAAATCTGCAGACACTCTGAAAGGCTAAGACCAGAATGATGATGAACTGAAGATATGGTCTGAAATCATCAAATAAAATTCAACACAAATAAGTTTGAAGTCCTGTATTTGGTTTCGAATAACTGCATGTGCAAATAGAGACCGGGGAATGAGTGGCTAGGCTGCAGAACTGCAGAGAAAGACCTAGGGGTTACAGTAAGCTGAATAAGAGCCAACACTAGGCTCTTGTTGAAAAAAAGCCAATGGGATAATGGGTTGCATTAACAGGAGTGACTCTTGTAAATCAAGGTATGTGAGTGTTCTGCTCTGTTTAGCACTGGTAAAGCCTCATCTAAAGTCCTGTGTCTAGTTTTGGGCCCTGCACTTCAAGAGCAATAAAAAATTATTAGAGGCCTGGAAAAAATGATTTATGAGGAAAGGCTAAAAGAATTAAGGTTATTTAGTCTAGAGAAGAGAAGACTGAGGGGGGATTTGATAACAGTCCTCAAATATCTGAAGGGTGGATGGATAAAGAGGATGGAGATAGAGACGTTTCTTTGTTGCTGTATGGGACAGAACTAAGAGCAACAGTCTTAAATTGCAGCAGAGTACATTTGAGAATTTTCTGATTAAGAGGGTGGCTGCTCATTGGAACTAAGTTGTGGAATTGCTACCCCTGGAAATTTTCAAGAGCGGGTTAGATGGACACTTGACTAAGATAGTTTAGTCACAAAGAATCCTGCCCTGAGCAAGGGGCCAGACTAGATGACCCCATGAGGTTCCTTCCAAACCTAATGTCCTATGATTGTATTTATCAACAGAAAAATTAACAGAAAATTTACACTTCATCACAATGCTCTGATATCATGCCCAACAATCAGTTCTGGCCCTAAATGACCATTCATTGATGGGTAACAGAGTCATTTAGTTTCTACAGCCGTTCCATCTTTGGAGTTGGGGTTGAGATTGCTAGTAAGGCTCCCTCTACACGTCACAGGTATCATGCAATTAACTGGTTAACTGTGCAATTACCTTGAGACCACCTACATGTGCAAAGTAACTGTCAGACCATTAAAAGCTCCAGCAAACTATGAAGTTAGACCTAAAAAATGTGAAATAATTTTCGAGCTGGTTGCTATCTAACTTTAATTTGCATGTGTAGCAGAGTCTCCCCTGCAGCTGGGAGACACTTCAGCTCCCAGGGCTCCCAGCTGCAGAAGTGCACCATGCCCAGCTGAACCTGGGAGTCCTGTAACTGAGGGGACTCTCAGCCCCAGCAGCTGCCAGCTATGGGTCCTGGCAGCACCCCGCAGCTGCCAGGACCCAGAGTCCCAGAGCTGTTGACATTGGGTTCTGGTAGTGTACTTCCTGGTGCCAGGACCCAGCTGGGTCCCTGCAGCCAGGAGGGTGCAGCTACAATCTCCCAGCCCCAGTGGCCCGTGGAATCCCCAGAGCTGGGAGATGTAGCTGCCACAATCTCCCTGCCCCAGGGATGCGTGAAACCCCTGTGGCTGGGAGATCACAAGATGCCATGACCTCTCAGCCTTGGGAGTACATGAAACCCCCACAGATGAGAGACTGAAGCTGCTGCAATCTCCCAGGCTCAGGGGGGCATGAAGCAAACAGGAGATGCAGAAAGCAAACAGGAAATGCACCCCCATTTCATGCACCTCTGAGGCTGGGAGATTGTGGCAGCCCCCTCATCTGAGGGGGCTCCCAGCTGCAGGAGCTTGCTTCTTGCCATTGCAGGGGGAACCCAGGATTGGGCTCCCCCTGCACCAGCAATAAGGCACAATGGGATCTAATGAGCCATCCCACAATCATGCCTCCTGCCATGCATGTGTGGTATGGCAGGAAGTGCAACTGTGTGGGAGTGCATATTAGATCCCATCATGCCTTTACCTGCATGTGTAGGGGCCCCCTAAGAGTAGCAATTGATGAGATAGTGACAAATCATTTCATGTACTCAAGTCCACCATTAAATAATTAACAACCAGCAATACATTTGGGCATTTTTAGATTCCACTGGCAGCCCAGATGTAAAAAGACTGTTTAATATTGCCAATCTGATTGATGAGCTATCTAGCTGCAGATAAACACATACAGATTGTGGTTGCACCATCAACCTCTAGTATGTATGATTTCCAACATATTGTACACTACATTATAGTTAAATTCAAACATACCAAAGACATATACTATGTTAAGCTTATTTTAACTTCAGTTGTCCAAGATAGATAACTGTGAAGAGTTGTCAGGCGTGGGCAAAACAGCACATCTGGTCAGTGCCTGGACTCCATTCCTCAGTAGCCCCTGTCCGTGCAGCCCCAGGCTGTCTCCATGGAGACCCTCGCAGCAGCAGTGCTGTGACAGCACTCTGCCCTGGCCCTGTCCCTGGCCATGCACTGGCAGGACCCTGGGATCTCCATGGAGACTGGTGAGGAGCAGCTGGGGAAGGGCGCGCAGCTGGGCGTGCGAGAGCAGGGATTTTGTGGTCATGACAGTGCGGGGTCAGAGCCAGGGCAGAGGCGCCTGCGGCCAGCAGCTCTGCCTCAGATCTAGCCCCATGCTGTCACCACCAGAAGATCCAGCATCTCCCTGGTCCCACCTGTCCACCTTGCTCCCAGAT